TAGAGCTGGAAGTCAGGGAGCATAATTCACCCCGCTTTATTCTTCTCTCTCAGGATTGCTTTGGCTATTCAGGGTCTTTTGTGGTTCCATATGAATTTTAGAACTATTTGCTCTAGTTCATTGCAGAATGCTGTTGGTATTTTGATAGGGATTGCATTGAATCTGTAGATTGCTTTAGGCAGGATGGCCATTTTGACAATATTAATCCTTCCTATCTATGAGCATGGGTGTGTTTTCATTTAAGTGGCATACTTTTTAATTTCTCTCATGAGTGTCTAGTAGTTTTCAGAGTATAGGTCTTTCATATGCTTGGTTAGTTTAATTCCTTGGTATTTTATTCTTTTTGATGCAGTTGTGAATGGAATTGCTTTCCTGATTTCTCTTTCTGCTATTTCATCATTAGTGTACAGGAATGCAACAGATTTCTGTGTATTAATTTTGTATCCTGCAACTTTGTGAATTCAGGTATTAGTTCTAGTGGTTTTGGAGTGGATTCTTTAGGGTTTTTTAAATACAATATCATGTAATCTGCAAACAGGGACAGTTTGACTTCTTCCTTACCAATCTGGATGCCTTTTATTTCTTTGTGTTATCTGATTGCCATGACTAGGACCTCCAGGACTACATTGAATAAAAATGGGGAGAGTGGGCATCCTTGTCTTGTTCTCGATCTAATAGGAAAATCTTTCAGCTTCTCACTATTAAGTATGATGTTGGCTGTGGGTTTGTCATATATGGCCTTTATTATGTTGAGGTACTTTCCCTCTGTACCCATTTTGTTGAGAGTTTATATCATGAATTTAATGTTGAATATTGTCAAATGATTTTTCAGCATCTATGGAGATGATCATGTGGTTTTTGTTCTTCTTTTTGTTAATGTGGTGCATGAACTTGATGGATTTTCAGATGTTGTACCATCCCTGGGATGAATCCCACTTGATCATGGTGGATGATCTTTTTCATGTATTTTTGTATTCGGTTTTCTAATGTTTTGTTGAGTATTTTTGCATCTATGTTCATCAGGGATACTGCTGTGGAATTTTCTTTTTTTGTGGTGTCTTTGCCTGGTTTTGGTATTAGAGTAATATTGGCCTCATAGAATGAGTTTGGGAGTATTCCCTTCTCTTCTACTTTTTGGAAGACTTTAAGGAGGATGGGTATTAGGTCTTCACTAAATATTTGATAAAATTCAGCAGTGAAACCATCTGGTCCAGGAATTTCCTTCTTAGGTAGTTTTTTGATTTCCAATTCAATTTCTTTGCTGGTAATCTATCTATTCAGATTTTCTGTTTCTTCTTGGGCCAGCCTTGGAAGGTTGTATTTTTCTAGAAAGTTGTCCATTTCTTCTAGGTTATCCAGTATGTTACCATATAATTCTTTATACTCTTCTCTCATAATTCTTTGTATTTCTGTAGTGTCCACAGTGATTTTTCCTTTCTCAGTTCTGATTCTGTTTATGTGTGTAGACTGTTTTTTTCTTGATAAGTCTGGCTAGGGGTTTATCTATTTTGTTTATTTTCTCAAAGAACCAAATCCTGCTTTTATTGAGTCTTTCTATTTTATTCTTCTTGATTTTATTTATTTTTGCTCTAATCTTTATTATGTCCCTCCTTCTACTGACTTTGGGCCTCATTTGTTCTTCCTTTTCTATACTTTCATCCTTTTTTTTGGTTGACTAACTAAAACTAACAAAATTAGTTTTGTTAATTGTGAGTTTGCATGTTCGTATGGGATTGTTCTTCTTTCCTGAGGTAGGCCTGTATTGCAGTATACTTCCCTCGTAGCACAGCCTTCGCTATGTCTCACAGATTTTGCAGTGTAGAATTATTGTTGTCATTTGACTCCATATATTGTTTGATCTCCTTTTTTATTCGGTCATTGATCCATTGATTATTTGGTAGCATGTTGTTTAGCCTGCATGTGTTTGTTAGCTTTTTCATTTTCTTTGTACACTTTATTTCTAGTTTTATACCTTTGTGATCTGAGAAGCTGGTTGGTACTGTTTCAATCTTTTTGAATCTACTGAGGCTCTTTTTGTGGCCTAGTATATGATCTATTATTGGAAATGTTCCATATGCACTTGAGAAGAATGTGTATCCTGTTGCATTTGGATGAAGTGTTCTGTAGATGTCTGTTAGGTCCATCTGTTCTAATTCATTGTTGTTCAGTGCCTCTGTCTCTTTCCTTTTGTCTGTCTGGTTGATCTGTCCTTTGGAGTGAGTGGTGTGTTGAAGTCTCCTAAAATAAATGCATTGCATTCTATTTCCCCTTTTAATTCTGTTAGTATTTGTTTCACATATGTAGGTGATCCTGTGTTGGGTGCATAGATATTTATAATAGTTTTATGCTCTTGTTGGTCTGACCCCTTTATCATTACATAATGTTCTTCTTTGTCTCTTGTTGCTTTCTTTGTTTTGAAGTCTATTTTGTCTGATACAAGTAATGCAACTCCTGCTTTTTTCTCCCTATTACTTCCATGAAATATCTTTTTCCATCCCTTCACTTTCAGTCTGTGTATGTCTTTCAGTTTAAAGTGAGTCTCTTGTAGGCAGCATATAGTTGGGTTTTGTTTTTTTGTCCATTCTGTGACTGTGTGTCTTTTTATTGGTGCATTCACACCATTTACATTTAGGGTGATTATCGATAGGTATGTACTTACTGTCATTGCAGGATTTAGCTTCATGGTTACCAAAGGTTCAAGGGTAATTCCTGCACTATCTAACAATCTAATTTAACTCCCTTGGTATGCTATTACAAACACAACCTAAAGGTTCTTTTTTTTCCCTCCTTTTCTTCATCCTCCATTCTTTATATGTTAGGTATCTTATTCTGTACTCTTGTCTTTCCCTTGGGTGACATCTATTTAGCCTTAGGAATACTTCCATCTATAGCACTTCCTCCAAAATGCACTGTAGGGGTAGTTTGTGGGAGGTAAATTCTCTCAGCTTTTGCTTATCTGAAAATTGTTTATTCCGTCCTCCAAATTTAAATGATAACCTTGGCGGGTAGAGTATTCTTGATTTGAGGCCCTTCTGCTTCTTTGTATTAAATATATTGTGCCACTCCCTTCTGGCCTTTAAGGTTTCTGTTGATAAATCTCATGATAGCCTGATGGGTTTTCCTTTGTATGTGATCTTATTTCTCTCTGTAGCTGCTTTTAAAAGTCTGTCTTTATCCTTGATCTCTGCCATTTAAATTATTATATTTCTTGATGTGGTCTTCCTTGGGTCCCTTGTGTTGTTGAGAGATCTGTCCACCTCCATGGCTTGAGAGACTATCTCCTTCCCCAGATTGGGGAAGTTTTCAGCAATTATCTCAATAACACTTTCTATCCCTTTTTCTCTCTCTTCTTCTTCTGGTACCCCTATAATGCGGATATTGCTGTTCAGATTGGTCACACAGTTCTCTCAATATTCTTTCATTCTTAGAGATCCCTTTTTCTCTCTGTGCCTCAGCTTCTTTGTATTCCTCTTCTCTAATTTCTATTCCATGTACCTTCTCTTCTACTACATCTAATCTTCTTTTAAATTCCTCCATTGTATGTTTCATTTCAGATATGGAATTTCATTTGTATTCCTCTTCTCTAATTTCTATTCCATGTACCTTCTCTTCTACTACATCTAATCTTCTTTTAAATTCCTCCATTGTATGTTTCATTTCAGATATGGAATTTCTTAATGATTGCATCTATGTCTTAAATTCATCCATGAGTTCTTGAATATTTTTCTGAACGTCCATGAGCATGTTTATGATTTTGATTTTGAACTTTCTTTCAGGAGGATTAGTGAGTTCAGTTTCATTTGGCCCATTTAGTTTGTGAGATTTTTGTCTGAACCAGGTTCCTTTGATGTTTCATAATTCTATGTGGTGTCCTCTGGTGCCCAGAAGCTCCTGTGTCCGGAGCTGATCTGCCCTTCGAGTGAGTTTTGGAGTCGTAGGGGAGCAGTGCTGGTGCCTGAGAGGAAGAAAGAGCTCTTTCCTGATTCCTGGCTGCAGTTCCTGTCTCAGAGCCAGTGGGCGGAGCACAGGGAGTGAGCCTCTGTGCTTGGCGTCTCTAGCTGTTGTAGGCAGGGCCTCCCTCTTGCTGGCATGACTTCAGCTAGTGACTGCTGGTTTGCGAGCAGGTTCCAGCAGGCCAGGAGGAAGGCACTGCAGGCTGTGTGTCACAGTTGGGGGCCTCAGAGCTGAGTAGCCATCCAGGAGTATGGAACGCCTGAGGCTCATCAAAGTACCCAACCTGCTGAACAGAGTGTGCACAGACATCCTTGTCCACCTATTCCTTCTCCCACATAGCAACCTCCGTGTAAACCCTGCCCCTTCAGCAGTCCTCTCACTGCTAGGCAGCCTCTCATACCACCTGCCTTTCCTTCATCCCAGAGCAGCCGGATGTGGATCCCCATCCTCCACAAATGGCCGGAATCTCAGTCTCTCAAGCACTCCTCCTATCCCAGCTCCCCAACACCACCAACCTCCAAAGCACCACTCAATGTAGGTTTGTGCTCCAAAGCAGACCTCCAGGGCTGGGTGTTCAGCAGTCTTAGGCTTCCTCCCCTTCCATGCTGTTTCTCTTCCTCCTGCTGGTGAGCTGAGCTGGGGGAAGGGCTTGGGTCCTGCTGGATCAAGGCTTTCCTACACTACCCTGTTTTGTGAGGTCTGCTCTGTTCATGAGGTCTGTATGCAGTCTGGGGCAGAATTCTTTCCTGTTGCTGTTTTAGGGCTAGTTGTATTCACTATATTTTCACACTATATATGGTTTTGGGAGGAATTCTCTGTCTCACCTCTCATGCCACCATCTTGAGTTTCCTCCTACCTTTTTACTTTTTAAAAATATATATTTGTAACCTTCAAATTTTACAATAAATAAGGCATGGTGATGAAAAGTACTGCAAACTGAATAAATAAGAGTAGAGGTAGGAAAACACTGAATTTTAAAATAATATATTAACAATAACAAAAAATAAAGTCAAATATTTACAGTTGTACCTTTTATGACAGCTTACCTCAAAGTCTATCAGCTGTAGGTCAGCTATCAGTGTCACCAGTAGTCCACTATTATAGAGCTCTTGTGCTAGCTGAGCCACAGCTTCTGTTGGGAGTTCCTTGTCACTTGTCCCACACAGAAGTTCTTTCATTGCTTGCAGTGATTTTGCCACTTCTTCTGAAGCCTGGTGACGAAAATGATGCTAAGAGTTAAGAGAAATTAAAACATTTGGGCTATAAACAAACAAAAAAACCACTTGTTAGGCCCTCTTTACTTATGATCAATGAACACTATACCATTACAAACAAACAAAATACCATTTTGTAGACATTGCTTTTCTTATTTTGGAAAAGATTATTAAAATTTATTTATATAAAATTATTTCCACTGATTTCTACTTAGCCAACATAAATTGAAACAAACTTTTTTTAAGTTAATTATAACTTGTCAAAACCCATAATCTTTGTCAATCCACCTGTCCCTTACACATAATCATTACCTTTTTGGTACCTATGAAACTTAAAAAAAAAAACACCTCCCTATATTTTAAACCTAAGAGAAAAATCTATAGAAGTAGAAAGTAGAGTAGTAGGTGCTACTGCCTGGGGAGAGAAGAATGAGGAATGAATGCTAATTAGTACAGTACTACAACCCTTTTCTGGGGTGGTAAGATGTTCTAGAACTTCACAGTGGTGATGGTTGTACAACCTGTGAATATACTAAAAACCACTGAATTGTAAAAGCTTTTCATTTTGCCAAGATAGTAGGTGTATAATATGAATGTATTATAGTTTTAATTGGACTCTTTCTGATTCTTAATGAAAATGGGTATCTTTTCATGTTTTTTTGTTTCTTTTGCCATTTAGATCTACCGTTTTATGAAGGTCATTCCTTCCTTCTGTTTGGGCCAATATCTCACTCAATATTACATGGTACACTAGAACTACAAATACATTTTTACATCCCTTACAGGGTACACAATAAAAAAAATATTTCTATATCCTTACAAGTAAAGAGGATGTATCATACACTGGTACAGAAAAATACTATGAACTCAAGTTTAGTGTATACATATCTCGAATCTTATCATAAACTAGTCACTTAAGAAATCAAATATGTATGATTTAACACCCCTTAGAAAGAATAACAAAAATACAAAAAAGTTCTCCCTGTGATGAAACCCTTCTTATTAGGACATTAAAACAATGTTAAAAATGAGATTGCACCATAGTAGAGGATTTCAATCAGTTGATCTTTAAACAAAAGCTTTTTACCTTTGATGCCAGTCTAACATTATATACCAGTATAACTCCTTAGATTTTTAAGTTCTGTAGTCTGAGGGATCCAAAGTTGGTCAGAGGCTGGAGATTGTAATCCAAGAATATAAGACAACAGAATCAACAATTATCAGTTGCATAAAACCTGAAGTCAATTTAAATGAATGTATAGAGACCCTATGTGCACATCACAGACCATTTTGGAATTCCTCATCAAGCTTTTATGTTGGATTTTGGTCTTGGAATATATATGCTTTCTAATAACATTTTTGCTTTAGCTCATACCTTGTCTGGTTTTTTTTCTTGCTTTTCCAAGATGGCCATGTTGTCTTTCAGAGCTTTCACGATTTCTGTGGGATTTTTGTGTGATTTACTAAAGAAAGGCATTTTTTTCATCTACAGAAATCTCCTCTTCCAATATGGAATGCTACAAACAAACAAACAAAAACTATGAATTTAACTCTTAACATGATTAAATTGTTATAAAAAAAGTGTCTTACAAATTTTCAATAACCTTAATTTGGTTAATTAGTAATTTGAAACATTAAAATTGGCCAAACTAAAATGAGTTTCATCAAGTTGCATGCCAAACTTAAACATATATAAGATATTTTAAGATAGATTTTTTTATTAAGGTATTATCGATATACACTCTTACAGAGGTTTCACATGAAAAACAATGTGGTTACTACATTCACCCATAGTATCAACTCCCCCCCATTCCACATTAAGAAAGACATTTACAAAACTTTGCCTGGAAACTTTTTACTCAAAGTTTAACATTTTTTAACAACATACACAAAAGGATTATACAGAAATGGGAAAAGTAGTACTTTTAGAGAATAAGCTGATTTAAAACTACATATTTTGACTAAACAGTGTGATGATTACGATGATTATAATTATAGACAAAATAAAACATGTAAACCAAAAGTGGAACTATGATCTATATGTTGTGGAAAAGCAATATTTAAAAGCATGCTACTCCATGGCAATCACAAAGCTGAAATGTAAAAGTTTTGAGAAACTGTTTTTTATTTACTCTTCAGATATTCTGCTAGCCATAATCACTGGAAATGAGGGTTACCATGGTGGGAGGGGAGGAGAAGGAAAAAGGAATTCTAATTCTTGTTTTTGAGAATACCAATTTACACAGAGCAGAGAAAGCCAAATACAGCTGTCATTGTGTACTAAAAATATAAGTATTAGGGAAAAAAACATAATTGAAGGCTCCAATTCGTAGAGGCATATTTACTTACTTTATATTTATAAATATAACATTTCAAACATTACAGAAATCTGATGTAATAAATCAAAGACTTTCATTAACCAAATGCCCAGAGATGATAACTCTATTAGTTTGGTTATATTCCTCCTGAACATTTTCTACACATATAGAAGTAAATATACTTTAAAACAAAAATAGAATACTACTAACAGACACCTATAGAACACTCAACCCAAAAGCAGCAGGATATACATTCTTCTCAAGTGCAACTTCATTCAAGTTCCAGAATAGACCACATACTAGGCCAAAAAAAAGAGCCTCAGCAAATTCAAAAAGACTGAAATTGTACCAACCAACGTCTCAATCACAAATCTACAAAACCAGAAATAAATTGTACAAAGAAAACAAAAAGCCTCTCAAACATGCAGGCTTAACAACATGGTCCTAAATAATCAATGGATCAATGACCAAATTAAAACATGAGTTCAAGCAATATATGGAGACAAATGAAAACAACAGCTCCATGAGCCAACTTCTGTGGGACGCAGTGAAGGCACTTCTAAGAGAAAAGCATATAGCAATACAGACTTATTTAAAGAAGGAAGAACAATACCAAATGAATAGTCTAAATTCACAATTATTGAAGCTGGAAAAAGAAGAACAAATGAGGCCCAAACTTAGAAGAAGGAGGGACATAATAAAGATCAGAGAGGAAATAAATAAAATTCAGAAGACTAAAACAACAGAAAAAATTACTGAAACCAAGAGCTGGTCCTGGGAGAAAATAAACAAAACAGGTAAACTCCTAGCCAGACTTATTAAGAAAAAAAGAGATTTAAATATAATCAGAAATGAGAAAGGAAAAACCACTATGGACACCATAGAAATACAAAGAATTATTAGAGAATACTATGAAAAATTATATGAAAATAAACCAGATAACCTAGATGAAATGGACAATTTTCTAGAAAAATACAACCTTCCAAGGCTGACACAGGAAGAAACAGAAAATCTGAACAGAAAAATTTCCAACAATGAAATTGATTGGTAATGAAAAAATTACCCAAGAACAAAACCCCCGGACCAGAAGGATTCATCACTAAATTCTATCAGACATCTAGAGAAGACATAATACCCATTCTCCTTAAAGTTTTCCAAAAAATAGAAGAGGAGGGAATATTTCAAAAAGCATTCTATGAAGCCAGCATCACTCTAATACAAAAACCAGGTAAAGACACAACAAAAAAAACAAAACTACAGACCAATATTCCTCATGAAAATAGATGAAAAAAATCCTCAACAAAATGTGAGTAAAATGAATTCAAAAATCCATCAAGAGGATCATACACCATGATCAAGGGGAACTCATCTCATGGATGCAAGGATGGTTCAGCATTCAAAAATCCATCAACACCATCCACTATATCAATAAAAAGAAGGACAAAAATCACATGATCATCCCCATAGATGCTGAAAAAGCATTTGACAAAATTCAACACCCAACCATAATAAAAACTGTCAAAAAAATACGTATAGAGGACAAATACCTCAACATAATAAAGGCCATATATGACAAACCCACAGCCTAAATCATACTTAAGAGTGAAAAACTGAAAGCTTTTCTTCTAAGATCAGGAACAAGACAAGGATGCCCACTCTGCCTGCTTTTATTCAACATAGTACTGGAGGTCTTAGCCATGGCAATCAGACAACACAGAAATGAAAGGCATCCAGATTAGTAAGGAAGAAGTCAAACTGTCACTGTTAGCAGATGACATGATATTGTACATAAAAATCCCTAAAGACTCCACTCCAAAACTACTAGAACTAATATCAAAATACAGCAAAGTTGGCAGGATACAAAATTAATACACCGAAATCTGTTGCTTTCCTATACACTAATGATGAACTAGCAGAAAGAGAAATCAGGAAAACAATTCCTTCAAAAAGAATAAAATACCTAGGAATAAACCTAATCAAGGAAGTGAAAGACCTATACCCTGAAAAATACAAGACACTCTTAAGAGAAATTAAAGAGGACACTAACAAATGGAAACTCATCCCATGCGCTTGGCTAAGAAGAATTAATATTGTCAAAATGGCCATCCTGCCTAAAGCAGTCTACAGATTCAATGCAATCCCTATCAAAATATCAACAGCATTCTTCAATGAACTGGAACAAATAGTTCTAAAATTCATACAGAACCACAAAAGACTCTAAATAGCCAAAACAATCCTGAGAAGGAAGAATAAAGTGGGGGGAATTCTGCTCCTGATTTCAAGTTCTACTACAAAGCCACAGTAATCAAGACAATTGGTACTGGCACAAGAACACACCCACAGATCAATGAAACAGACTAGAGAGTCCAGATATTAACCCAAGCATATATGGTCAATTAATATATGATAAAGGAGCCATGGATATACAATGGGTAAATGACAGTCTCTTCAACAGCTAATGTTGGCAAAACTGGACAGCTACATGTAGGAGAATGAAACTGTATTACTTTGTAACTCCATACACAAAAGTAAACTTGAAATGGATCGCACACCTGAATATAATTCATGAAACCATTAAACTCTTAGAAGGAAACACAGGCAAAACTCTTTTTCATGAACATATCTCCTTGGGCAAGGGAAACCAAAGAAAAAATGAACTAGTGGGACTACATCAAACTAAAAAGCTTCTGTATGGCAAACGATACCATCAGTAGAACAAAAAGGCATCCTACACTATGGAGAATATATTCATAAATGACATATCCTATGAGGGGTTGACATCCAAAATATATAAAGAGCCCATGTGCCTCAACAACCAAAAAGCAAATAATCTAATTAAAATATGGGCAGAGGATCTGAATAGGCACTTCTCCAAGGAAGAAATTCAGATGGCAAACAGACACATGAAAAGATGCTCCACATTGCTAATTATCAGAGACATGCAAATTAAAACCACAATGAGATATCACCTCACACCAGTAAGGATGGCCAGCATTGAAAAGACTAAGAACAACAAATGTTGGCAAGGATGTGGAGAAAGGGGGAAGCCTCCTACACTGCTGGTGGGAATGTAAATTAGTTCAACCATTGTGGAAAGCAGTATGGAGGTTCCTCAAAATGCTCAAAATAGACTTACCATTTGACCCAGGAATTCCACTTCTAGGAATTTACCCTAAGAATGCCGCAGCCCAGTTTGAAAAAGACAGATGCACCCCTATGTTTATCGCAGCACTATTTATAGCCAAGAAATGGAAGCAACGTAAGTGTCCATCAGTAGATGAATGGATAAAGAAGATGTGGTACATATACACAATGGAATATTATTCAGCCATAAGAAGAAAACAAATCCTACCATTTGCAACAACATGGATGGAGCTAGAGAGTATTATGCTCTGTGAAATAAGCCAAGCAGAGAAAGAAAAATACCAAATGATTTCACTCATATGTGGAGTATAAGAACAAAGAAAAACTGAAGGAATAAAACAGCAGCGGAATCACAGAATCCAAGAAGGGACTAATAGTTACCAAAGGGAAAGGGACTGGGGAGAATGGGAGGGTAGTGAGGGATAAGGACGGGGAAGAAAGGGGGTATTATGATTAGCATGTATAATGTGGGGGATGGGAGAAAGGGGAGGGCTGTGCAACACAGAGAAGACAAGTAGTGATTCTACAAGATCTTACTACGCTGATGGACAGTGACTGTAATGGGGCTTGCGGGGGGTACTTGGTGAAGGGGAGAATCTAGTAAACATAATGTTCTTGATGTAACTGTAGATTAATGATAAAATAAAAATAAACAAACAAACAAATAAATAAACAAAACCTGTCTATATGCTGCCTACAAGAGACTCACTTCCAACCCAAAGACATACACAGACTAAAAGTAAAGGGGTGGAAAAAGATATTTCATGCAACTAATAAGGAGAAAAAAGCAAGAGTTGCAGTACTTGTATTAGACAAAATAGACTTCAAAACAAAGAAAGTAACAAGAGACAATGAAGGACATTACATAAAGATAAAGGGGTCAGTCCAACAAGAGGATATAACTATTATTAATATCTATGCACCCAACACAGGATCATCTAGATACGTGAAATAAATACTAACCGAATTAAAAGGGGAAATAGAATGCAATGCATTCATTCTATGAGACATCAATACACCACTCACTCCAAAGGACAGATCAGGCAGAGTGAAAA